AAAAAGAAAAATGAATAGATAGGGATAAATCTTTACCTTGTTGCTTTGGTAACCAAAGGCGAGTCTCCACATTTAAATTAGATAGCATTAAGCTGTCCAAGATTCCCCTGACATCATCTTGCTGTGATTAATTCTGGCTTGGCAATTTGTGACTTTTATCTTGATTGATTGTAAGGATAGGAAAGAGTGCTAAGCAGAGTTGTAATCTGTGTGAGACATTTTTGGTTCCATTATACAAAGATCACTCATCTTCACAGTTTTATAGTTAAGTGATACTTGGGCAAAAGTGACTTAGGGGGAAAAATCCTTTGGGACAACTTAAATCTTGGTCAGACTTTAACCTAGGAATGTAGCTTTTAGAAGGCAGGGATAGAACCCAACCCTTCAGCAAGAGAAGGAAATAAGTAACATTTAAAAAGTCATTTTTTTTAATTACCTGATTCTAAACATCCCCCAAGTCCATTATATATTCTTCCGTTTATTTACCTCTCAGGAGCGAAGAATGACTCAATCTCCGCTGCAGGAGGACTTTTGGCTCCAGGCGTCTGGGTCGTGCAGGATTCTCAGTTCATTTTGCTGTCCCTTTGGAGAGTTTAATGCAGGCATGGGGGACAAGCTGTGGGGAAGTGAGGCTCTTGTCCTCCCTGGTGGCCACTGTTCGCAGAAATTTGGATTCAGAGGAAATGTGTTCAGTACTCTGAACTAGGAAGGACAGAAATAAAACTTGGCTCTGGAGCATATAATGAGGCTGTTCTGTTTGGTCTGCAAGTTTCCAGGAAGAACACAGTGCAGAGGTGTCTTTGACAAATGTGCAGCAAGAGAGAGGAAGTTCAGAGGAAGAAGCAGAGACTTCTAATAGGGTAGAGTAGGCTTCCAAGAGAAAGGAGAATTTATTTCCGGGTTAATTGGTGTACGGGCTGCTCATAGTGGAGAAGACTGTAAACAGCAGCGGGTTGAACAAGATAGTAGTTTATTTTCTCTTGCCTAGAATGAAGGTCAGAGGTGGGTCCGCAGCTCCCAGTGCTTGGGCTCCTTCCAGGATGAGGAAATGTCACACCTTACTTGGGGGTGAACGTCTGCATTCAGCACTTAGGGCCAGAATCCTTTATAGACAGACTTACTCTTGAACATCCCTTAGGAAGTTGCCACATTAGATGCCCGAATCCTAGCTCCCAGTCAGTCTAGCACAGCTTAGCGGGTTTTTCTCCCAGCATTGGGCTGGCTTGCAGCTAAGTAGTTGGCTCCCATGTTTAAGGGCCATGTTGTAAACAGTAGAATTACTCTCAGCATCCAGATAGGACCCCAAGAGGCACTTAGAAACTGAACAAGCCCAGGCAACCATGAGTTCCTCCCTCCCTCCCACGGTCATTCTGGGGCTTATGGGCTCCCTGAGAGAAATGGGAGTGGAGTTGCCAGCCAGACTGATTTATTCATATCTTTCTATTATGGAAACTTTCAAACATACCCAGAAGTGAAGAGAATTGTATAGTGAACCATGTGCCCATCACTCGGGTTCAATGATGATTAATTCTTAGCTAGTCTTACTTCATGCATACCCTTCTTTCTCTCACCAATTACTTTGAAGCACATTTTGCTATTTTTCCTCTATGTCTCTACAAGATAGGATTTAAAAACATTTCTATGAAACCTTATCATACCAAAAACATGAACATCACCAATACCTCCTTTCTATCATTAAATAGCAAATTAATGTTCGCATTGCCCCAACTGTCTTATTCTTTTTTTTTATTTCTTTGAATTAGGATCCAAATAAGGTTTACATATTGCAGTTGATTGACATGTCTGTAATCCCCTTCTAATCTGTAGGTCACCATTCCACCTTTTAACCCCCTTGTGATTTATTTAAGAAACTGGGTTGTTTGTCCATTACAGCAGAGATTCTCCAAGGGGCATGGTCTCTCCCCCCATCACTTGACACCATCTGGAGACAATTCTTGTTGTCACAGGTGGGGATGCTGCTGGCATCTGGTGGGCAGAGGCCAAGGATGCTGCTAGAAGGCCTATAATGCATAGATCAGCCCCCATCACAAAGAGCTATGTGGTCGAAAATGTTGGTAGTGCTGAGGTTGAAAACTATGCTGTGAACTTTTCTACAGCCTGGGTTTTGATGATTGCTTCCCCCGTGGTGCCATTTAACATGTTCTTCTGTTCCTTGTGTTTTCTGTAATTTGTTCGTTAAATCTTGAGTTTTGGTTAGGTGCATATATGGGCTTTTGTTCTATTTGGTGAGACAGCATCATAGGCTGTGGATTTTCATTTAGAAATATGTGGTAGCCTCTTTCTGTGATATTATTCATTATTGATAATAAGTGCCTGTGTCTTTAGTTTTTTTTTAAACTTTTATACAATTTTTAAAGGTTAATTTCCATTTACAGTTATTACCTAATATTGGCTATATTCCCCATGTGGTACAATATATCCTTCAGCCTGTCTTACACCCAACAGTTTGTACCTCTGACTTCCCCACTCCTATATTGCCCCTTCACCTCCCCCAGTGGTAATGATTAGTTTGTTCTCTGTGAGTCTGCCTTTTTTTTGGGTTATATTCACCAGTTTTTGTCTTTTTTAGATTCCACATATAAGTGGTATCATGCAAAGTGTCTGTCTTTCTCTGACTTATTCACTTAGGACGATGGCCTCCAAGTTCATCTATGTTGTTACAAATGGCAAATTTTCATTCTTTTTTATGGCTGAGTAGTATTCCTGTGTGTGTGTGTATGTGTGTGTGTGTACACCACATCTTTTTTATCCATTCTTCTGATGGACACTTAGGTTGCTTCCTTATCTTGGCAATTGTCCATAATGCTGCTATGAACATTGGGGTGGATATACCTTTTCAAATTAGTGTGTTTTGTTTTTTGTTTTGATATGTACCCAGGAGTGGAATTGCTGAGTCATATGGTAGTCCTAGTTTTAGTTTTTTGAGGAATCTCCATATTTTCCATAGTGGCTGCACCAACTTACATTCCCACCAACAGTGTACAAGAGCTCCCTTTGCTCCACGTCCTCCCAATATTTGTTATTTGTGGTCTGTTTGGTGATGGCCATTCTTACAGGTGTGAGGTCATCACGGTTTTGCTTTGCATTTCCCTGATAATGAGCGATGTTCAGCATCTTTTCATGTGCCTGATGACTATGTGCATTTCTCCTTTGGAAACAATGTCTGTTCAGTTCTTCTGCCCATTTTTTAAGTGGGTCTTTTTTTTTTGATATTGAGTTGTATTGCTGTGTCTTTAATTCAGTAGTGATTGTAAAATAGTCATATGCCAAATCGATCATTCTTTCCTTGTTTATATATGAGAATACTTACATAAAAAGGAATTTAATCACAACTACTTGTTTACTCTGAGCTTCACATAGGGAAGTCAGGATAAATGCTTGAGACTTTGCCTTTATTTTCAAAACAGTGACTTCCCTGGCAGCATCGTCTAGAAGTACATCTGAGGTTTTATTTTGGGGGAGCTTGTTTTCTTCTTTTTGCACTGTTTAGTGTAGCTGACATGTTTCAATTTAATATTCTTATTGATACTAAAAGTCTCCATATTTGGTCAGTGGAAACTAATTCAAGTTGACCGGTGGAAACTTAATTACTGCATCCTTTTGACATGACTTGTATTTTTGTATTTTTGTGTCCTTCCTGGTATGACACAATGTTACTGGCTTGTCTTATCCATTTTGTGCTCCAGACTCGATCCACTACTTCTCTGAGGAGCCCTGGTTCCTTTGAGTTTTTAGAAGGCATGTTGTAGAAACTAGGAATATTTATTACTATGGGTTTATTGTTATTCCTAAATCCTCTCAGTGAACTGAACTAGGAAATAGGTATGCATGTATGTGTATATTGTGTCTGTGTGTTTGTGTATATTGTGTCTGTATGTTTGTATGCGTGTGTGTGTACAGAGATAAAACCAATTATTAATTCATACTAATATTGCCAAGTGAAATTCCGGGTTATAAGGTCTTTACTTAGCTTCATCAACTTTATATCTATAGCCTTTTATCCACCCGGAAATTCCAGTCCACTGATACCACCATGTTTTTTCATCTGCTTTGTCTCATGCTATATACACAACAGACTGTATTTTAAAGACATTTGGGATAGTTCTTTGTGATTGTGCCACCAGCTGGATACATAGTTAGGTTCATTGGTTTCATTTTTGTTTGTTTGTTTTTGGAGTTCCTTTTTTCAAATTCAACTTAGATAATGTTGCACAATATTGTCAAGGTTTCCAAGTCTCACCCGTGACATAGGGCTTGCATATTCAGAGGTGTTTGCTTTTGCCTCAGTCCCTTCTCCGTCTTATTGCCCTCCCTCCCTCACTGCGGCAATTGAAAAAAACAATAGGGTTTCTCCTTGCACCCTTTAAAAATATGTATCAGCAAGTGGATGCATGCTTTCATGTTGATATCTCACTCCCTTCTTAGGTAAGTAATCGTCTGCTA